CACTGTCCTGAAAGGCCTGTGTGATCTGCCCCTGCCTGTCTTTCCAAATGCATTTTATGCTACCCACCTACCAAACACTTCCAGAGCCTTACCACAGGCTGCCTCCTGGTTCTGGGACAGGTTCTTCCCTCAGCCCTGCAGTTAGCTGCTACCCAACTTCACAGTCTCTATTTAAATATCATCTTCTCAAGGAGTCATGCCTTACTATTCTAAATTGGATCATTTCTGTTATTTTCTTTCTTTTTTTTTAAGATTTATTTATTTATTTTTGAGAGAGTGAGAATGAGAGAGAGAGAGAGAGAGAGAGTACATGAGAGGGAGGAGGGTTAGAGGGAGAAGCAGGCTCCTCGCTGAGCAGGGAGCCCGATGCGGGACTCCATCCCGGGACTCCAGGATCATGACCTGAGCCGAAGGCAATCGCTTAACCAGCTGAGCCACCAAGGCGCCCCATTTCTGTTATTTTCTCTCATTCCCTTTTCTGTCCTTAATAGTATTTATTACCAGTTGTAATTAATTTTATTTGATTGCTTCTTTGGGTCTGTGTTCACTAAGATATAAGCCCTAGGGAGCAAGGACTGTGTAGCTTGTTTACTGCTGTATCATCAGTATTTTAGTATTTAGTAGGTGTTCAGCAAATATTTATTGAATGAATGAGAGGGGCAGAGGCAAGCTGCCAGGAGGACAGGGTGTATCTATTGAACGCTCAGCTCATGAAAAAATAACATACAGGATCAGATGGACCCAATCGTTGCCCGCAGTTTGCTCACATGGGAGAAATTTGGAGAATAAATCTGAGAGCCGTTTATTTATTGTAAAGATTATAGGGGTTCTGTGTCTTTCTGGCAGGCATGTTTGCCTTCTGCTTATTCAGCTAATTTGAATCATATTGATAATGTGACTATGTGACAGACAGTTCAGCCGTATGCTGAGGTTTCTACCACCTTAATTTAAAAGTATTATACATCTATATGAGCACCTTAAATTTTTTCTGAAACTGTGCCTTAATTTCCACTATAGTTGTGTGGTCCGTCAGATTTTGTGATTCCACTGGGCTGAGGCCATTTCAGAGAGTGTGCAGTGTGAGGCCTAACCCTGAACAACCAAGGTTATGAGTGGGTCTACCAAGATGTGTTCACTGAAATGCTCTCTCTGGTAACAATGAGCAGACTTTTGAATGAAAATGTCTGATTATCAGCATTTAGGATTTAAAATGTCTTCGTTATCTTAGTTGAGGTGTTCTTTATGACATTTTACATTAGGAATAGTTCATTTTTTAAAGCCATTTTATTTTTTCATTTTTTAAGATTTTATTTATTTGTCAGAGAAAGAGCACAAGCAGAGGGAGTGGCGGGCAGAGGGAGAGGGAGAAGCAGGCTCCCTGCTGAGCAAGGAGCCTGATGCGGACCCAATCCCAGGACCCAGGGATCATGACCTGAGCCGAAGGCAGACACTTAACTGACTGAGGCACCCAGGCATCCCTTAAAGCCATTTTATATCAGTTTATAGGAAGACTGATTTTTGTATTTCCTAGGACATGAGGGAACTTGTCTAGTAAATCTTAAGAGCAGATTGGATATTTCAGGATTAGTTAAAAAGAAGGGCCTAAAAAACACAGGCTTGATTCTTCCAGCATTATTAAAATGCCCATTCTTTTTGGGAAACACCGAGCTGAAGTTTTGGCTTGCTGTGCAAATCCTCCTTCCTAGTGTATAAGTATGTTAATAATATTGGAGTATTTTGAAACTTAATGTTTAAATATCATTCCAAATATTTCCTTTTATTTTACATTGTCAGATAGTTAATCTAGCCTTTTAATTAACAATAAATCAGTAAAGTTGTTAGTCTTATTGAAAGAACGAATTCACTGCATTTAATAATCTGAAACCTTGGTTAGGCCTACCATCGGCTTAGTTTACTCAACTTGTAGAAAGTGAAGTCCTAGGATTCTAGGTTTTAGAGGGATTCCTTAGGTTTGGCTCTGGAAAGGTGGCCTTTAAAGAAGGACTCAAAAGTTGTCAAATGAAAATTTCTTGGTTGCTATATTGGCAGTTTCCAACTGCTAAATCAAGGAGTACATTTCCCCCATTTCTCCAGAAACAGTATTATAATGGGTAGATAGCTGTGATAGCACCTCCGCAGTCCCTTTCCCTAACCCCACTGATCCCTGTAAGTGGGAATGGCAGACAGGAGAACAAAACCACACCAATGCTCATGACAAAGGTCAGGAGCCTTGGAGTCTACTCTTAGCTCTGTCATTTTGTGCAAGTCATTTGACTCGTCAGGCTCAGATTACTCATCTATAAAATGAATGGATTGGGCAGGATCATTTCCAAGGTTCCTTTAAGCTCTGCTGTCATGTAATTGGGATTTTCTAATTCCTGCATCAGAGTCTGGGCAGGGATTTGGATGGCAGAGTAGTGTAGGTGGTCAGGCACTTCATACTTAACCACATTTCCATAGTTGCATGATATAGTCACCAGATCAAACTGAATAACCAGAAACGATGGTACACTCACACAGAAATTTTTGGTGCTCTTTATAGGAAAGCATTTTCAGTTTTATTATAGAGGTCAGGGAAAAAACCTTATTTCATAGGACTTGTGCCATTTTGACATCACTCTGTTATTCTTTGAGTACTTCATTACTTTCTGGTGCAGAAAGATGTTCCAGCTTATCTTGTAATTTCACATCTTGGTAGACCCATTTCATAACCTTGGCTGTTCAGGGTTAGGCCTTACACAGCACATTCTCTGAAATGGCCTCACCGTCACTTGTGCCATCCATGGAGTCAGCCAGTCCCCTGAGTACTGGTTCCTTTGAGGGGGAATGGTCTAGGTGTGCTCTTGCAAAATGGGGTGCTATTACTTCTCCTTCTTTTGGAAGAAGAGCTAGGAAGTATTTTTTTTTTTTTGAAATTGGATAATACCCCTAATTCCAGTTCACTACCACAGGGCTCTTCTTCTCCTTCCCACATGTTAGGTTTATATGGTCTTTCTCCCTCAGTTCATGATTCCCAGCAACATCAGCGTATTTGTTTGCACAGTGCTACAATACATACAAAACCATTTCAAAATTTTTTTACCAACTTTACTACCAATAACAAACCTACCACTTTCTTTGCAATTCTGTTTACCTTAAGAATTATTATCCTGAATGGAGCGCCTGAGTGGCTTAGTAGTTAAGCGTCTGCCTTCAGCTCAGGTCATGATCCCAGGGTCCTGGGATCGAGCCCCATGTCGGGCTCCCTGCTCCGCGGGAAGCCTGCTTCTCCCTCTCCCACTCCCCCTGCTTGTGTTCCCTCTCTCGCTGTGTCTCTCTCTGTCAAATAAATAAATAAAATATTAAACAAAGAATTATTATACTAAAGATGTACATCTATGTACTCTCAAAGAGATTGCTCTCTGTCATTGTTGTCTTAACACTGTATTTTCCCCTCCCTTGCTCCCTGCCTCCTCTGTCCCTCCTTCCCTTCCCTTCCTTTCCCTTCCCTTCCCCAGAGTAGACATTCTAAATGTTTGTTGAGAGGTAGTCTGTGCCCCTCTTTGAACTGCTCCTGTTTACAGTACTTTCCTAGGTTAAGTTAATCACCTTCTCTATCGGAGTTGTAGGATAATTAATCTACCAAAAGCACTAATGTTCTGAGCAGCCATATATATATAAATAAAAATATATGCTATATAACTTTAATAACTTTAATATATATAAAATACATAGTTTCATTTAACAATACATAAATGTATAAGTAACAGTTATGTATTTATCAAACCATAGTATGTAAAACCTTTATATATTAAACCCATTTTATCTCTATGTTCATGTAATCTTTATTTATTGCTCATATATAATTTTTAATCCACAGAACCCATGGTCCCTTGTTTTCTGGTCTCAGTTTCAGCCAGTATTTCACATTAGAACCATTAGGTCATGAGAAATTGTGGATTTCAGTTTTTTCATTTTGAGAGTCAGGAGGCACATAAAAAACATTGTGGGCTTTTTGTGTGTGTGTGGTTTCATCATAAACTCTAAGGTGTAAAAATTCTCAATAAGCATTAAAGAAAACAGACTGCTGGAACAACCACTGTGGGCTAGGACTAGGTGTGGGAGTCAGGCTGGAGAGAGGAAGCAATTAGGAGGAAGGAGAGTGTTGTTGGAGGGAAGGAGGTGGAGGTTAATGTATGTTCGAACTGAGAACAATGGTATTCAAAAAGTGTGGACTGGGGAAATTAAATTGATCAGTACCCAATATAAGTATGTAACCTATTCTTTTTGTTAAAACTGCGTAATAAGTGATCTTTAAAATAGCTGTTTTTTTATTTAAAAAGTATGTTTTATTCATCCAAATTGACAGAAATATATAATTGTACATGTTCCTTGCTATTATGTTTCAGTGATGAAGAGAAAATTGATGTTGGTACAGCAAAATATTGTTTAATTATAGTTATTCTTTAGGTGGTCCTCTATTGGAAAAATTACTAAATTAATTATGTGGTTTTATCTAATCATACATCAGAAAAGAAAAACAACCATCATATATTAAAGAAAATACTAGTTTGAGACATTTATGCTTTCATTGAAATGATCACTGTACCTTTAAACTAGAATATATATTTGGAGAAAAGCCCAAGAATCTTTTAAAGATTTTTTTGAAGGTATTTTTGAGTATTTTGAAAGGTACCTTTTAAATACCTTTAAAATATTTTAAGATATTTTAAAAAGAAAGTAAGACTTCAATAAAAATATTTTTATTTTACTTTCATTAACTTGTATATATGCATATTAAATATGTGTGTGTGTTTTAGGTCTTATTACAATTAAGTATATTCTTCCCATCTTCCTACTTAGTGTTTTCTTACGGGCCTATTTAAACAAATCTCTAGGCAGGACCTTATAGAATATTGGTCATTCTAGCACCTAGATTTTGCCAGGGTAGCTCAAATATTTTTATCAGTGATAAAAAAGCTAAAATCCTTTGGAAGTAACTTTTTGTATTTTTATTACAGGTAAATTGGGATATTCACATTGTACAGAAATAGAGGTAAGAGAAATACTCAAATATTTATTAGTAAAGTAGCTTTGCAGTTCTTTAGAGTAACTTAAATATTGAACTATATCTCATGGGTTTTTGGTCTCCTGACAAGGATGTGTTAAGAGCAGGTATATATCTTTTACATTTAAAAAGTAAACTGTGAAGAAAAATTCGTTATCTTGCCCATATAAATATATTTTTTAAAGATTTATTTTTAAGTAATCTCCACACCCACTGTGAGGCTCAAACTCACAGCCCTGAGCTTTAAGAGTTGCATGCCCCACTGACTGAGCCAGCCAGGAGCCCCTCTTGCCCATATTTTTAAAATGCCAGTGTGTATTAAAAAGATTACCTTAATCGGGACGCCTGGGTGGCTCAGTCGGTTAAGCAGCTGCCTTCGGCCCAGGTCATGATCCCAGGATCCTGGGATCGAGTCCCACATCGGGCTCCTTGCTTAGCAGGGAGCCTGCTTCTCCCTCTCTCTCCCTCTGCTTGTGCTCTGTCAAATAAATAAAATCTTTAAAAAAAAAAAAGATTACCTTAATCATGGCTTTAAAACTTTCCCATGTTATTATGCATGAAATTGAGATACTGAGATTCAGAGCCCTTAATAAGAAATAGTTTAAGTTCGGTTTTTTCATAATCCAATCTAATGTGTCATAATAAATAAATCATAAATATTTTGAGCCCTCTGGAGCTGCCTTGGTGTAGGAAAAAAAATAGGGGCTTAGAAACGATATTTCAGTAAGATTAATAATGAATCAAATAGTTTGTTATCTTAGTTCAAAATTCTGATTTTGAACTTTAAGGAATTTCCACGTTATTCCCTGTGTTCCTTGCAGGAATTTCAAGGGTAGCACTGAAATGTGAGGGTAGCATCCATGAAGTGTGTACGTCTGGTGTTCTTTTCAGCAACTGTTGCCTCATCTTTACATTAGGAGTCTTGGGTCTTTGTTAATGGCATTGCCTAAATAAAGGATTTAAGAAGTTATTTTTCTAATATGGTAATACGTCTACACGTTGATGTAGATTTTAGTAAATTTCAACTGTTATTTTAAATAAAATGCAAGCTTCCTAGGGGATTGTATTGTATAATAAAGAAGCAAAAATAATTTGTTCTTTTTTACAGTCAGAAATTATACAGTTCATTTTTGTATTTTCAACTTTGGAAGTAGAGATCATTTTTTTTCCAAATTAGCTCTAAAAATAGGCAAGAACTTAATTTTTGTAAAAAGTAGAACTTAATATTTCTATATTGTGAGAATTTTTGATGTACTGTTCAATGTAATATAAAGGAGTGGGATTTGATTTGAGTCAGAAAATATAACTTCTGTTTGTGGTTTCTGGTGTGCATTTTTCTAGCTATGTAATTTTGAGCAGTATTTTTTTCTCCTGCTCTCCTAGAACTTTGGGTTTCTTATCTGTAAAATGTTAATCATAATTCCTATTGACCTCACAGGTTGTAAAATTTTAAAGAGCAAATATATGTGAAAATGTTATATAAACCCTGAAGATACAGTTTTATATATATATATATATATATCAGGATGACTAAGTCTCATTATTCTGTCTTATGTTGTATCACCATAAAATCAGCATGGTTGTAGCACTTTATTTAGTATTCACTTTGTATAGGAACATCACTCATTTTATCTCTGTAATCTCCTAGTTATTAGGTCTTACTGTTTGACCCATACCTTGGGTAACCAAAAGAATTGGAATATAAACAGAACCTACTTTCAGGATTTTTTAAAATGACTATTTGATGAGGGAAAATCACAAGAAAATAAAAAGTTCAATCCAATTATTTAGTTAACAGCTTGGAGTATTTTCTAGGGGTAACAGTGGTTAGAGACTGGAATTGTAGATGGTGATTTATCTATATTGTTTGGATTTTTTTTTAAATGAGAACATCTCTGTGTATTACTTTGTTAATTAAAATAATAAAAAGGAGGGGCAGTAGAGGTTGTGGGAACTACTTTTTCAAGAAGTTTGGTGACTTGAGAGAAAAAGGAGACAGCTTAAGTAGAAAGTTTTGTTTTTTAGGGAAGATGGTACATTTGAAGGGGTAGGGGGTGGCGGGGGTAAGGAAGCAAGAGAGAGTGAGTTGGAGTCCAAGTTAGAGAGTGGGGATCTGCTGAAATCAGACGTAGGACTACCTCTGGCTTGACTAGAGCATTGGTTCTCCAAGTGTGGTAAGAGGGCTCTGGGGCGTTCCTGACACCCTTTCAAGGTCAGACTATTTTTGAAGTAATACTAAGACATTGTTTGCCCTTCTACTTTCATTCTCTTGAGGGTACAGTGGTGTTTTCCTTGGGTACATGACTGTGTGTAACTATGAATGTCATGCCAGACCTCAGAAGCAGATATAAGATCTAGCTGGCTTTTATTAAGCATGACCTTCAGGAGTTTTACAGAAATGCAAAACAATACCACTCTTCTTATTTTTTTTTTTGAAAATAGAGGTTTCTTTCCCATAAAAATGTTACTTATATTAACATGTTTAATACTTTTAAATGATTTAATTAAAGTGATCTGATTTAAAAATTTCTCAGTTTTAATTTCTAATACAGGAGATGTTGATAGATTATGGTTCACATATATAAAAGCTCCTTGGACTCCTCAGTAATTTTTAGAGTGTCAAAGAGTCCTAAAACCACAGTCTGAGAGCTGTTGGGCTGGGGTATGGTTAGCACGGGTATTTCTGCCCGAGAAACAGGATTGAGGGCTGAGAGCAGTAAAACCCGCAGTCCTGAGGAAGACAATGGGAAGTTGAGGGAAGCTTTGATAATAAGGATTTAAGCCCGTCTTTTCTGTCAGTAAGACAACAGGGTCATTTCTGAGAGTGAGGTGATCCTGGATCAGAAAGGTGATTGTTAGAGCTTCTTTTGCCCTTCCATTGTTCTTCTGTTGAGAAAGCTCTGGCATTAAATGCAGACCAAGAGAAGGGCTGCTCACAAGTTGTAGATGAGTAGAACTGTGAAGGGCCCTGGAAAAGGTGGAGTAGCATGTTGCTTACTCCACATTGTGGTACAGGCCTGCACCCCGGGAGCTGGTGTGCTGGGTGTGTTTGTGCTTAGGCCCACATCCTGGCTCCATCCTTCTCCCTCACTTCTCAGCCTCAAGATTCCTCATCTGAAAGGTGGGTTGTTGTGATTGCAGAGAGTTTAGCATAAAGCCTGCCTTAGTGAATATAGCCTATTATTCTTATTTGGGAGGTGTATAGTTTCCTGGGATGGAGAAAGTCATCTTCTTAAGCAAGGTCATGGACCACTAGGAGCCTCAGGGTGACTGCTAGGGAAAGCAAAATCCCTTTATCTTTCTGAGCCTTCAGGACCCTCACTGAGACATATAACTTGAAGTGTTCAACTGTGTATTTTAATAGTTTTTGTAGTATATAGAAATCATATTATGAATTCTTTTTTTTAATTAATATATAATGTATTATTTATGTCAGGGGTACAGGTCTGTGATTCAAGAGTCTTACACAATTCACAGCGCTCACCATAGTACCTACCCTCCCCAATGTCCATCACCCAGCCACTCCATCCTCCCACCCCCTCCACTCCAGCAACCCTCAGTTTGTTTCCTGAGATTACAAATCTCTTACGGTTTGTCTCCCTCTCCAGTTTCGTCTTGTTTCATTTTTCCCTCCCTTCCCCTATGATCCTCTGTCTTGTTTCTCAAATTCCTCATACCAGTGAGATCATATGACACTTGTCTTTCTCTGATTGACTTATTTCGCTTAGCATGATACCCTCTAGTTCCATCCACGACGTTGCAAATGGCAAGATTTCATTTTATTGATGGCTTCATAGTATTCCATTGTATATATATACCACATCTTCTTTATCCATTCATCTGTTGATGGACATCGAGGCTCTTTCCATAGTTTGGTTATTGTGGACATTGCTGCTATAAACATTGGGGTGCACGTGCCCCTTCAGATCACTACATTTGTATCTTTGGGGTAAATACCCAGTAGTGTAATTTCTGGGTTGTAGGGTAGCTCTATTTTCAACTTTTTGAGGAACCTCCATACTGTTTTCCAGAGTGGCTGCATCAGCTTGCATTCCCACCAACAGTGTAGGAGGGTTCCCCTTTCTCCACATCGTCACCAACATCTGTTGTTTCTTGACTTGTTAATTATTTTCTAGTTTTACTTTCAACCCTCTTTTTAAGACTTTTCCTATATTCAGAAAAACCAAACAAAATTTTGAGTTTAGAGAAAGCAAGGAGGCCATACATAGGCATTCAGTCAACTTTTATGTGATCTTATACCTCAAAATAGTTTAATGTTTCTAAAAGATCAAGTATTATACCTTATTTCTCAGTGGGAAAAAAATGTTTTTAAAGATATTTATTTGAGAGAGAGAAAGAGCCCGTGCTCTCGTGCATGTGCGAGTGGGGGGAGGGGCAGAAGGAAAGACTCCCCAGGCAGATCCCACGGTGATCACAGAGTCCCATGCAGGGCTCAATCTCAGGACCCACCCATGAGATCATGACCTGAGCCAAAACCAGGAGTCCCACAATCAACCGGCTGAGCTACCCAGGTGCCCCTGTTTGGAAAAATATTTTAATGTACTCAGTTATACTAGTATATTCCAGCATTTGAACTCATTAAGGGAAAATTTTCATATAATTTGTTTTAAAAGTAAAGTAAAATTTTTTACTTAATAGGCAATTTAATTTTTTCCTATATCTCTTTTACATTTTTTGCAGGTATGATTTACATACAGTAAAATTTACCTTTTTCAGTTACAGTTCTTTGAGTTTTAACAGATATTCAGTTGTGTTAACCATCTCTGCAATCAAGTTCTGTCATTCCCCAAACTCTGCCAGTGCTCCTTGGTGGTCACTCCACCCCCACTTTGGGCCCCTGTCTACCGCTGATCTGTATTTTGTCCTTTCATTTTGAGAAGGGCATGTAATTTAAACAGTGCATTAGCCCTGCTTCTCTCTTTCTGGGAGTGCTCACACCTCAGCCTGGTCATTTATAAACTCTTAGA